GGCCAGCAAATTCAAATCCCTGCAAAACCAACTCATGTTTTGCCATCTTATATCTTATAGATAGATAGATGTGTATGGACAAATCTGTTCAAATGACTTGCAAAGTCGGCTGCTCGATTGAGTCACTTTACATGTGTCCACAGGGGCACAACACCAAGGGAATCAAATCCAAAACAAGATTATCAAAGTGGAATGCCAAACTAATCTCAAAGTCACTGCTAGTTTGGTACCATACGCGCGGGATATAGGGCAGTGTGGCATCAATAAGATGTGCTCCACAACCAAGCACGTTACAGTGAGTTAAAGCGGCAGTGACGGACAACTACTGCTGAATCAGCACAGCCTAGTTATTCTGCTAACTTGAAGATTCGTTAGTGTATACTAATTAATATCCAAAATATATGAATTAATATCCAAATCTGCTAAGTATCTAGATAACACATACTAGTACTCAAAACATCACAAACTAGTATCCAGATAGTAGATACCAACTAATATCCACAATCAACCAACTAGTAATCAATATGGATACTCTTATATGTTATCTGGATACTAATTATGTGCTGCTTGGATACTATTCTGTGTTGTCTAGATATTAGTTAGTGAATTTGGGATAATAGTTGATTCATGGTGGATATCAGTTAGCAAACTTTGAATACTAGTCTGTGTTCTCTAGATACTTTAGTACTTGGATATTAGTTCATGTATTTTGGATATCAGTTAGATCTGCTAACGAATCTTCAAGTTAGCAGATTAACTTTTCCCGAATCAGCACCATGTGTCTAGAAATGAAATGTACACTTGAGTTGGATATCAAAGTCATAATAAGGAGGCTTCTTCAATCCCAGAACAGCACAGATTGATAAGCAGAAAGATATCTCGCTCGTCCAATTTGAAGGTAGCTGCATAATTAGTGAACATCCAGAACTCTGACGGCTAAAACCACTCAGGAATTTTGGTCCCAGGAAAGCAAAGAATGGATTCAACAGCTGCTGCAAGACACTTCTGTAACATGGAAAATCCTGATGGTTCCAAATATGTGATAAATGGATTCAAGTAGGCAAAATATTAAGCGAAAACAAATTTTCAAGTTCAGTTGACAGAGCTTTTTGTATAAACGATTGTGGTATATATGACATTTGATCAGAGCATGTTCATGTACGGCACAGCGTGCAATCATGCCCAAATTTCAGTAACCAGAGAAAGAAAAATTGAAGAAACTAATAGGATACGGGGTCCAAACGATTGAATTTCTTATGGTCACCTTTGTTAACGACGGGCAATTATCTGCATCCAACTTTTCCTGCTGATTTGGAAGTTTCGGCAATGAAATCAGCTCCAAGCAGTTCTTTATTCCAAGGTCTTGCAGCTTAAAGAGTCTGTAAAAGTCAAGAGGTAGCTCCTGGAACTTGTTTCCACTTAGATCCAACATTTCCAATGAGTTGAATTTACAAAGAGCATCAGGCACCGCTGATATATTACAATCATTAAGAGATAGCCTAGTCAAGAACTCCCAATAACTATGCCCGCCAGTGAAAGCTGAGTATGACATCCTTAACAACTTGCAGTGTCCTAGTTGCGAGGTGGAAATCCCGGGGATACTGTTGAGCCCTCCAGGAAACCAGAAGTTGCTTATGGGAGTTCCTTCCAAATACAAGCGTCAAAGGCTGGCTCCAACCCAAGGAGCTAAAATGCTAAAAAGCCAAATTTGGCTCTTTTTCAAGCTCCAACCCACAAAAAAATGGGAAGCAAAAAATGGGTATTGGGATTTTGGAAGGGAAATTTGGGTGGGTTTTGGGGTGGGGAGTGATATTTGGCTGCCAAAAAGTGGGTTTGTTTGTCAGATGCGGAGAAGGGCGCCGGACGCGCGCCTGGGGCGCACGCGCGCGGAGGAAGACCTTCCTCCGCGCGCGTGCGCCCCAGGCGCGCGTCCGGCGCCCTTCTCCGCAGCTGACGTGCTGTTACTTTTTTTTTTTTTCTTTTAACTTTTGTAGTGAGGGAATTTGTTTTGCCAATTTGTTTTGGATTTTTTTTCTCTATTCTCATTGGTTGTTTGTGATTCAATTTGAAATAATTGATGTAGTGACGAAAAAACAATCATATTTTAACGGCCATAAAAAACGGTCATATTTTAACGACTAATTTTTGAAAAAAAAATTATCTCGGAATTTAAAAAAAATTACATCAAAAAATTTGTATTCAAAACTAATAACGAGTTATGAAAAAATTAAAGTGAAATATAAAAATTAGAGGTCAAATAAGTATGGTTTATTGAAATAAATTGAAAAATGGAAATGGGAAACTAAATTTAGGGGTTAATTGCATGGTTGGTCACTGAGATTACAAAAAACGTTTAAGTTTGGTCACTCGAAATATTTAAATCCATTAATGATACTTCAGTTTACCGAAACCGTTCACATTTGGTCACTCTCCGTCCAATTCCGTTAACTTTGACTGATGTGGCAGTCAACTCTTAAAGTTGACCGTTAACTTAGTGACGTGGCAATTAAAAAATAATAAATAAATTTAATTTAATTTATTTTAATATCCAACTCATTTTTACTATAATAAGAAAAAAAATTATAATTACTAATTATTATCAAATTAAAAGTGGCAACCGACACCACATCCCTTCCCCTTCCTCTCCACTCACCACTCTTTTTCCTTCCCTTCTTCAGTTCTTCTTCTTCTTTTTCTTCTTCCCGTTCACTCAGCAAGGTAAAACCAGCGGTGAGGTAGAGCTAGAGCTCTGCACCTCAAATCACAGAGGTACGTCGCCCAGAACCCAATACCAAAAACCCCTTTTCCGGCTTTCCTCCACTTTTCCTCTCCCTCTCTCATCTTTTCACCTACGGAAAGCCAGATCCCAAAGCCACAAAAGCAACCGTCCCCCTTTCTCTATTTCCTTTCCAGAAAATCTAAAACTAACAGTAGTGGAAAAGAGATTAGAGAGAGAGAGAATTCAAGAAAATGGCTTCCAAACTCTGTTTCCTCTTCTTCCTCACCTTCCTAACCCATCACTCCCAAGCGGGTTTCCTAGCCGAACCGGTTCCCAATCAACCAAACCCAAACACCGTCCCGGCCTTCCCCGTCCAGACCGACTCCCAAATCTGCCGTCTCGACCTCTCCGCCGAGCTATTCGGCGGCGTAAACGACGTCTGCGGCAGGAACCTAGACCGGAGCCGCTGCTGCCCTGTTCTCGCCGCCTGGCTCTTCGCCGCACACGCCAAGTACGCCCTCCAAGTGCCCCCCGCCTCCCCCGCCGCCGCTGCTGCAGCCGAGGACCAGCTGCCCATGATGCCGGACGACTCCCAGAAGTGCTCTGACGGGAAGATGATCGAGTACTCTGACGGTCGGCGGCAACCCCGAGCGGAGAAAAAGTGATTGCGGGGAAGGGATGTGGTATCGGTTGCCACTTTTAATTTGATAATAATTAGTAATTATAATTTTTATTTATTTTATTATGGTAAAAATGAGTAGGATATTAAAATAAATTAAATTTATTTTATTTATTATTTTTTAATTGCCACGTCACTAAGTTAACGGTCAACTTTAAGAGTTGACTGCCACATCAGCCAAAGTTAACGGAGTTGGACGGAGAGTGACCAAATGTGAACGGTTTCGGTAAACTGAAGTATCACCAATGGATTTAAATATTTCGAGTGACCAAACTTGAACGCTTTTTGTAATCTCAGTGACCAACCATGCAATTAACCCCTAAATTTAGCTTTTTATAGGGTTGGAGTGAAAAGTGGGTTTGGGGAGCTAAAAAGCCATATTTGGCCATTTGGGGAGCTAAATTCCCCTTTATGGGTTGGAGTTAGTCTAAGAGATTCCATAGGCCTCAAAGTAGCTGGGAAATTTTCTAGTTTGGAGCAACCTGAAAGGTTAAGCCTGTAGAGAAATTTCAACTCACATATACTGTCAGGAAGAATCTCAAACTTTTGCAGTTGTACAGAACTACAGATGCAGTTCCACAAGCCGAGAGAGACCCTCGATAGACGATGGTATTTCTTCTATCCCCGTTTCATCTAAATACAACTCATTTATGTTCGCCGAAAGTTTAGGGAACTGTGTCATATTTGAACAACCTCGGAGAATCAACTTTTCAAGAGAATTTGCCTCAGAAAGTGTATCAGGAAGATTCTTGAGCCTTTTGCAGTTTGATAGATCCAAATATGAGAGCTTAGAGAGGTTACCAATCCAGCAAGGGAGTTTCTGTAGTGCTGTTTCACTCAAGTACAAGTATCTAACGCTTCCGAAAATCTCTTACAAGTATCTAATACTTGAGCAGCCAGAGAGATCAACAATTACAAGGGATTCCAACAGACACATGCTTGGAATGCTTTGGAGTCGTTTACATCCCTTTGCATTCAGTGCAACAAGTCGACTGAGATATGCAACTGATCCTGGAAGCTCTTCTATTGCTGTCTCATTCAGATTGAGGTAGGCTATACATCCCATGATTTGAGAGCACTTCTTAAGGCTTCAACAGCCAGAGAGGTTAAGCCGTCTTGAATGACTGCATATTCAAGCAACCTGGAAGACTCATAAGGCTTGAGCAACCTCTTAGATCAAGATCAGTAAGCTTGACCAGATGTTGAACTGATGAGGGAACTTCCATTATCTCGAGTTTGATTGACTGAGACATGTCTGGCATTACCTTCAGATTCTTACAAAAACTTAGGTCAATCTCTTTTAAATTCACTAGACCCTACGGAATAAACAATTAAAACGGTTAGTGTCCATTTCAAGAAAGAAACCCACAGTAAGATTGGCTCATAAATTATGTACATGAACTCCTCCCCACAGTTACTAAATGTTACTGCAAGCCAATCTAATTTCAACAAGGTTCTCGGGGCATAAGTAAAATGGAAAAGAGCTGAGAGGGTATCCATCCCAATGAAGATACCTCAATTCATCAGAAAGAAACTGCATCCCAGATGGATTGAGTATCTTAAAACAATCTCTAACCTCAGAATTATAAACTTTCAGGAACCTCAGATTAAGAAGCAAGCAACGTCGAGAAATATGCTCTTCTCCTCATCGGTTAATCCATCAAAACTTAACCTCAATACATCATGAATTTCTGGGCGAAAAGTTCTTTCAATCTTAGCCAGTGCATTTTCCCAAAATCCATTTGTTCTGTCCAGGAAGAAGGAACCCAAAACTTTAAGGGCTAAAGGGTTGCCTTGTGAATAATCCACCACCGTGTTGGATTCCTCCACAAAATCTTTCTTGGGGCAGTTCCCTTGAAAGCTTTGGAACAGAAGAGAAGCAGAGATTCACAATGATCTAACTGTTCAACCTCGTATATATCATCCACCCAGATTTTGAGCACTTGCTTATCTCTCTCAAGTGGACTAGTCCACTATGCTGCTTTGACTCTTCCCGAACATTTTCGAGGAATCAGCGACCCTCATATCGAGCAATGGTATCACTATAAACAGCTTCAGCAACTGTGGTCTTCCCTAACCCACCCATGCCCCATATACCCAGAAAATAGACATCTGGTGACTAAATATGCAACATTTCTTTGACTCGTCGCACTCGCGAATCTATTCCCACCAAACCCTTTGCATAACCAGAGGATGCACCATTAAGTTTCTTCAAAATTTCTTACACAATTTCATTCACAAGTCTGGATTCGGGCCTAACAAATATATAGAGACAGATTAGTGGTTAGCCACTAAGCCTATGTGCTCATACAGAGAGTTGAACAAAATTCCACATTGCATAACATCCATGATCATAAACTGCGATTTTCAGCACGAAACAAGTAACATAAGAAGAGAAGGCGAGAGTTACAGAACATTACCTAATGACTTGGCTTGGGAGTCCCATCCAGATATATTTAGCAGCTGTGGTTAGCACACTTCTCCAGCTTGGCACCTTGTCTGCAAAGCTCCCAATATGTTGATCCACAGCAGATGGATCCACGCGATAGAAAACTAACAGAACAACCTGGCCGTACCTGTTCCTGCAATCAAGGGTTTTGGCCAATTCATCCACACACCAAGGAGATGATCCATATTTCTTTGAGAAGATCACCACCAAAATCGCTGATTGCTCAATTGCTCTCAAGAGCGAAGGAGTGATCTCCTCCCCTCTTTCCAGTTTATCATCAATGAAACAATTGACCTTCTTGCGGCGCATAGCATCGAGAAGATGGCTCGTGAAATTTTCACGGGTGTCCTTTCCTCTGAAGCTCAGGAACACATCGTATCTCGACTAGAGGCGAGAATCGGCAGAAGAAGACGAGGCCATTGGGCACAGGGAGCAAAAGTTCTAAGGTGAGCAACTAGCACAAGGGAATTTCAGAGTTTTCGGGGATTTAAAAAGAGGGTCAACCTCTACAGTACAACCATCGTCAACGGATGCAAAGGAAAACTCCTATTATTTACATAGTCAACTTGGGCTTGCGTCGAGTAATTTCCACCAGGGCTTCCCGCCGCCGAAACCACCACGGTTGTCGACAATGGCGCCTCCGCCAACTATCCTCCATTTTTTACCATCATCTCCGTTCATCCACTCAACGGTTGGAGTTATAAAACAATATAATTTGCCACATGGGCAAGCCCAACCGCTGGTTGAGGCTGAATCGTCAACAACAAATCAACCTTTCAATAGCATGGCATATTGAAATTAGCCCATGCCATGAAAGCCCAATGGGTCATCGCCTCAAATCATTCATTGAACAAAGAAATTGGATGGGCACAGTGGCGGACCTAGAATTGTCAGGGAGGTGTGTCGCCGATGAAATAAGATAATAATTAAACAACCCTTTGATGTGTTTATTCCATGTGTCGCAGTTGATCGAGTATGTTGGGGTCACTACTGGACAGCGAGACGTAACACAGTAGTTGACAGGGCATGGACTGGACGGTGAGACGTAGTGCAGTGGCATTGCCGAGTTGGGTATGCAACCGGACGGTGAGACGTAACGCGGTGGTCCCTAGTATTGATGTCTATGAATTAAGTATAGAAGTAGAGACCTTCTATGATTTAAGGATAAAGTTGAGAAATTCTTTGAGTTGACGTTGGAATAAAGTAATAAGGATGAAAGTGAGAATGATTTTCATATAAGGAAAGAAATTATTTCAAATAATGTGTTTAGTAAGGGTTTGCTTAGGTAAAGACTTTAGGAAGTAACGACGAGACTAACCACTTCTCACTCACTAGGTTGAGAAAGGGTTATCATAGGTGGATTTCGAGAAGAGGCAAGGTGATGCGAGAAGCTGCACAAGAGTGAACGAGATCGAGGAGAGCTCAGCAAGGAGCTGGAGTTAGATATAGTTAGTTATTTTATGATTCATGATTATGAGTATATATATACTAGAGGTTCAAAGTTCATAATTTAGGTGGTTTTATTGAATATGGATTGAGGTTGCCCAAATGTTTAGGGCATTTCTTTTGAAAAGTATTCAGTTGTATTATTTTTAATGAAATTTGGAGGTTGTTTTAAATCAGCTCCGAAGCCACGTGTATTTCGGTTTGTTTAAAAGGGACGGGTCGTTACACTCAAGATCAGTAGTTCTTCCCAAAGAACTCTGAATTTTTGTGAAATAAGCACTAACCGAGAGAGAACCTTGGTGGAGAGACGAGATTTTGTCGTACAGATCTGAAATCCGAACTTCATTCCCCTCGCTGAATCTTTCTCGAAGATCTGCCCAATCTTCGACGGCGGTATCAAACCATAAAATGTTATGTGCGATATTTAGAGACACCGACCTTTGAAGCCATCCAAGGACAAGGACGTTTGCCTGATCCTAGGCAGTCCACATAGAATCATCGCGCGAAGGGATTGGAGGTCGAGAGTCAATCAAAGCGAGCTTATTGCGAGCCTGCAACCCCATGCGCAGAGCATGGGCCCAAGAATGATAGTTTGCGCCTATTAGTGATGTAGTGACAAGTTGCAGTGATAGAAGGTGGCCATTAGTGATGAAGTACGAGTGTGACGCTGGAATCGAAGTCGCCGCCGTAGCAGTAGAGCCAGCTGACGAACTGATCGGCGGAGGGCCGGAAGTGGCGGAGGTCATTGAAAACGCAGTCATCGATGAATCTAGGTTTTCGAGAAGGAACTCGAAATCAAACTAGGAATGACGGGAGAACACGATCGTCGAGAATCGAACAGACCAGAGTAGACAAACGAGCGGAAGTAAAGGAAACATAATCGAAAGAGACTGAATTTCTCTATTGAGAAGACGAGGCAGAGAGAATTAGAACGAGCCATTCACATTTTCTAGAAGAGCCTCGAAGAGAGAGAAAGACTAATCAAGAAACACGATCGTAAAGATTGGGAAAAACATATCAAGAAACGGTGTTGTTCTGTTTTGTACCATGTTGCTCAGTGGAGGGAAGCCGGACAGACAGAATTTTATTTCACACACTGAAAACTACATTGTTCATTTACAATCCATATATTTATAGACAATAGAATTAAGTTATATAATACCTATAATAATAATACAATACAAATCAACATATAAACTATACAGAAACGTCAATTGAGTCTTCGTCCTTTGTATCCTCGGACAACTACCATTTGAATGATTTGGTTTGAGTCTATCTAAATTCAATTCGATTCAGTTTTTTTATTCTTTATAATTTCTTTATAATTTCTTTATCTTTTTTATGCAATTATTTCTTTATCTTTAAGGATTGTTTAAATATATCAATTAAAAAAAGGTCAATTTGACAAATTATTTCATTTTGCAAAACAAATCATTTTAATACGAGCCAAATTGAATTACTCGTCCGTAATACATTGGAATTTTCGTTTATCAGAGTGGAGATTAGATTTTATGCCTTGTTTCATGAGAAGATTGAATTTGGGTAATGGTTATTCAACCTCGGTCCGCAAATTCAAACCTAGATAATAGCATAGAAGGAAACAACAATAACAATAAATTCAAACAAAACGGTCGTTATCACGCAACCAAAATTTCAAGTAACCCGACCTTTTCGTTTGTTAACACTTTAACCAACCGTTATCATATCCACATTATCCCATTCACATTTTTCTTTCCTCTTTTTTCCCTTTTTCGGGGGTTTCCCCGGCGCCACTCACTACTACTCATTTCCCGCTTCACTACTTCCCTCCTTTTGATTATTCCGAGCTCCCCTTTTTTATACAATTGCCACCAGAAAACTCGAAAATTTACCACACTGCCACTTCAACACACCGGTCCCCCGTCCCTTATCAATCTCTCAAAATCGCGTCCGCCGCTATATCCATCAGCGGCCCGACGGCCGCCGGCGAGAACTTCCTAGCAAACAAGAACGGATCCCTCCTCGCGGACAAAACCGAACCATCAGAACCGTTCGTTTTCATCAACCCTTCTTCATCCCCATATCTCGGCCGTCCATTCCTCAACTCGTTAATCAGCTCGGGCCCCACCTCATCCGCTCCATACATCCTCGGGTGCCCGCCGTGGCACCCCCTCCAGTCCACGTGCGTCAGCGTCGCCGACGTGGCGCCACGCGGGTCCCGCATGTGGATGAGCGTAGGGAAGTAGTTCTCCTCCGGGTAACACGTGTCCTCCCTCACGCACGTCCGATTGAACTTCCGCCAGATCGTGCGGTCCGCGACCACCATCCGCGCGTGGCTCCGCGTCAGCGACCAGAACTGCGACCCGATCCGGAAATCCTCCTCGAGCCTCACCTCCGGCAGCATCGCGTCCTCCCCACGCGCCGCCCACCTGTCCCTGGCCCCGGTCTCGTTGGCGAGGATCTCGATGAAGCTCTTCCCGGAGCGGGTCAGGGTTTGGTAGGTGAAGTCGAAGGAGTGGAGCGGGATGCAGGACGGGGAGAGGAGGGCGAAGACCGCGTTGGCCGGGTCGTGGAGCAGCGCGTGGGCGAGGAGGCGGCGCGCGGCGGAGGCGAGGGTCGGGGTGTGGCGGTTGGTGGGTTCGGAGTGGATGACCCGACCCGCGAACACGCCCGTGAATGGCGGGTCGTAGGCTCGGGTCGGGTCGGCGTGGATGTAGATGTTGAACCGTTTCTTATTACCTCTAACTTTCCTCCCGCCGCCGATTGGGTTGAAGAAGAGCTCCCAAAGCGGGGCGAAAGGGAGAGGGGTGGTGGTGAGGAAGAGGAAGGCGATTTTTTTGGGTGGGGGAGTCGGGTTCGGGTTGACCCGGGCGGCGAGGCGGAGGAGGGAGCTGTCGTCTTTGGGGAGCGGGTTGCGGGAGGTGGAGGAGTGGAGCTTGGTACGGAGGGTGGATGGGGGTTTGTCGTCGCCGGCGGCGGGGGAGACGGTGGTGGTAGGGGTGGTGATGGTGAAAACGACGGCGAGGGGGAGGCAGAGGAGGAGAGCACAGAAGAGGGAGAATGGGGTTGGGGTAAGCATTGTTTCTCTTTTTTTTTTTTTTCACCTTTCGGTGGGGAGAAGTGGGGCGAGGAAGGAAAGTGAGAATGGGTTGATGGGTTAATCAAAGCTGGGGCCGGGAAATTTGACAGTTCGGACTTCGGAGAATGGGATAAGAGCCTGAGAGGGAGAGATGGAGAAGAAGAAAATGACAAACAGCGGCGGGCCACGTAGGTATTGGTATTTCGTAAGCTGAATAAAATTAACTATAGAGAGAGGGGCTAGTGATCGAGATGAGTGTGTATGGTATGACTGTGAACGAGTTCCACCCCACCTCGTCTGATGTCAGGAGGAAGATAACGTTTTGATTTCAACTTTAGACTAAAGAAGATTGTTACATCTTGTGTGGGAATTCTACGGTAATGTGTCGTCTGCAGGAAAAAACTATCACAGTTGTTGAATTACGAATGTCTTGTGTAGTTGTAGTTGTATGCTATGCATATACGGGTCGAATTCGTTTAAAATTCGTGTTCTCGCTCTTCGTTTTTCTCTTGTTTGTTTGATGTATTATAGGAGGTAAGGTAATTAATTTGCTGGAATTTTCAGGGGTCGTTTGGATCAGAGATTTTAATAATAAGGGATTTGGCTCTAAATCTCTCATTTAAAATACTGCAGAATTTGTATGTGGGATTTGATTGAAATAACTCGTTTGGGTTGAAATGTGAAATTTTAAGCTAAAATCCCAAATTACTTTAATGCCCCCATCTTCTTCTACCTCGTTTACTTCCTATGTTCATTCTTTTGACTAAACCCAAAAAAAATCATGCATTCACTCTGTTCTTGGACGAAATCATCGCCTGCTTCCTTCTCTCCTTAAGCAAGTGTCTTCGAGGGCTCCTCTCCATCCATTAACATTCAGCACCACAAGCAGTCCTCCAATTCAAAGCAAAACCCAAAATCACTTACCTCATTCATACCAAAGTTCCCAAACCCAGAAATCGCTCACCAATCATCTTATAGATCCCAAACCCCTCACTCATCGTTTAACCCAAATTCCCAAACCTATATTCGATTTCTCCTACCCAAAATGGTAGAACCCAAAATGCTGAATCAAGAAACCCGAAATCAAACCATTCTTCCCTTAAACCCAAAATTCTAATTTGGGGAAGAGAACCAGATTTGGGGAGAATCGCCAGAGGAATGGAGCTGGGAAAGATGAGAAACAGAGGAGACTAGGCGGTGGCGGTTTGTGTTTCTGGGTTTCGAACCCTTGAGTCTTGACGATAACTTGAAATATCTCCTGATACCAGAATTGATGATCAGAAGGAGCGGGCGACGGAGAAGGAATGATAGACGAGGAGCAAAGGGTGACGGAGAGCAGAGGGCGACAGAGAAGGATAGATCGACGAGAAGCAAGGTCGGCCGCCATAACCCATTGTCGGAACAGAAAGATAGGCTTTCCTCCTCCGTTTTCTTCATCGCAGGAACCCAGAACCCAGAATAGCTTCGTCTTCCTGTTTGTCGCTGGCTTTTATGGGGAAGATGACTGGGCGTTTTTAAATCTATAATCGACATCGGCTTCATACCGTAAACCCATATCTCCGGCGACGCAACGGTGCAGGAGAGGAGGGTGATGCGACCAGGTGACCGGACGGACGAAGTCTACGATAAAGACGGGCTGGGATGGAGGTGGAAGAAGAAAGAAGAGGGAAGGAAGAAGGACGAATGTGGTAGGCGAGGGGCAAGATTTGGAAATTATAAAATAACAACGAGAGATTGTCAAATAGCTGATGGGTATCAGCTATTTCTAAAACCCACGAATGAGGGTTTCTAAAATTACTAATTATACAATCCTTCGTCATTTCCAAACGCCAAATTGTTTTAAAATCCTGCATAATGAGAGATTGTTTTAAAATCTCTCATAAATCCCTCACTACAATCCTGCATCCAAACGACCCCCAATGTCTCTGTACTTTTTGGTTAAATGCGTCATTATACGTTTGTGAATCCCATGATTCAAACAATAGGGTTGTGTTATTTATTATCAATTATTGAGCTTTTTCTTTGCAATAAAATACTAGTAAACGTTTCGAGCTGTTATGGAAAACGGCGATGAAGGAGTGGGAGGGAAATTAGCGGGGGCAAAAAGGGAGGCGAATGGTTAGGGTTTTGATTTCCAAGAGCGAATTAGCGTGGGAGAGAAGGGAAGAAGAAGAAGAAGAAGAAGGACACGTGGCCAACATGCAATACAAGGCGGGTACACAACTGGTCTTTGGAAGATTTTTTGGGGGAGGGAAAAGTGGGGGATGGCGGGCTTCACATGCAATCCAATGGAATGGAATGGAAGTGAAGATAAGATAGCGCAATTTGTGACGAATAAAGAGTTTTCAGCGGCAATACCCTTCAGGCGCTGCTACCTAAGAGGGATTAGGGGTGAGGTTTTCATGAGTTATAACTCTGATTATTTATCCCGTCAATTGGATTATTATGATTTAAGGCTCAAAATTTTCAAGTCTTGCGGTCTGGATCCCCATAACTTCCTGAAATTTCATTATGCTCTTCGTCAATTGTGTTCCTCCACCTCTAATAATCCTAGATTCTAAGTCCAAAGTTTGGACTCTAAGTTGTTCCCATAGTCAAATTCCTTAATGACAGTGAATCTCATTGGAAGAGCGAAACTAATTTCCATTAATGTGTATATATAGTAGGTTGGCCTTAATAGTAGTATATAGCCATGAATTTATTTAAGGTTTAATTCACCAGCATAGCCATAACTTTCAACGGTTTTGACAAATATAGCCACTTTTTGAAAAATACACAATATAGCCACACTTTTGAAACTAGATTGACAACTTTAGCCATTTCCGTTAAATACTTTAACGCCGTTAGTAACTCTGTGAAAAACTTGGATGTTATGCCGATGTGGACGCCACCTCGACACCCACGTCAACTCTCACTCCACATGGCATGTCACGTCATATTTTAAATTTAAAAATATTTTTTTGAAATTTTAATAAAAAATTTGTGATTCCTCTGCCGCTCGACGGTAGCTTAGAGGTAAAATCCTCTTTCTCGCTGGAAGCTTCTAAACCGAATCAGAGCAGGCAATCAGAGAGGTGATGAAATTGAGGGATGCAGCTCCGACAGGGGCGAGAGGCTAAAGTTCGCCATGGAAGTTTCCTTCCTCCGATGAGGTGGAATCCAAATTCGAGAGAATCATCAGAGAGGGGATGTGATTGGGTTGGTAAAGCAAGGTTTCTCAGGGCCTAGAGTTCGGCCCCCTTTAATGGCAGTTCTCAAACCTTGGCATCTGGTAATCCCCAAATAGACAGATTCTCCCTCTTTCTCCCCTTGCCGGACCACAATCACAAAACCCACAAAAACCCATCTCTCAGAATTCGAGTTCGAGCAAGAAATCTCACTAATCTCCCTCTCATCCCCTTCCTCTCTCCACCTCCCACCACCCGCACCCGACGGCGGCTAAAGATAGTTGAAGTCTATGCTAATCGATGATTCAAGGTACGACAAAAAGGAAGAGGACAAAGTGTCTGGCGGAGGCTGAGTTTGTGTTGTTGGCGATTGAAGAGAGGGGATGCTCAACGACCATTCAGGGAGCTGACTGGCAGAGGCGCATTATGCAGCGCCCAGCGGCAGAGGAGGCCTTCTCCCCCAACCCAAAGTTACCGGATCTAGATGACAAACAGAAGGGTACCCACCGTAGCGAAGTTACTCATAGCTTGATATTGATATGAGGTAGGAAAGAAGAGAGAATGAAGCTGGCAACGACGAGACCGACGACTCGGGGAAGAAGAAAATAAAGAATTCCAAACGACGGAAGAGGGAGATGGATCGCTGGAGGGTTTCTCGAAGAAGAGGGAGAAGCCGACTTTTTCTTTGTTTATTTATTTATTTGGAGTATTTCCACCAAGGCATGATTTTGACGGAAAATCACCACGTCAGCGGAAGTAGTTAGTCCAGTCAGCACTTCAAACGATTCCGTTAAATTTATTGACGGAATGACTATTTTAGTATATTTTTCAAAAAGTGGCTATATTTGTCAAAACCGTGAAAGTTATGGCTATGCGGGTGAATTAAACCTTTATTTAATGTGAGTATAACAGGAGTTAGGCGGATGGATAATGGAATAGAATAATAGTTATAGTCGAAGAATCAACCAACGTGAAATTTAGAAGGTTGTATATGTTAGAGAGTGGTATAAGATCTAGCATAACCCAGGGTGGAACTTGGATTTTGAGACCGAAGGGGCCGAAAATAATTAAACAAAATGTATGTGGTCAATGGGGATCAAACTAGTGTGCTTTAAGACACAAGTCAATCTTGACTACCATTAGACCACATGGCTATTGTAGGACAAAATTTACATAACACATTGACTTATGAAATTTGTATTAAATATCATTAAAGTTCTAGGGGCCGGGAACAATCCCGGGGGGGGGGGGGGGAGGGGTCCACCCGAGGTTGAGTGTAGCTCCGCCCCTCGCATAACCTTCTCCTAACAACTCGGGTTATTGGGACCAACTGGTTTATGACATGGTATCATAGCTGTTTTGGCCAAGTGGTCGTGTGTTCAAATCTCCACGACCCCCAATTAACAGTTGATTAAAGCACAAGGTATGGTAGGCATGTGCAAACTTCAAGTCCATGTTTGGCTTTCGTTTGAGGGGGCGTGTTAGAGAGTGGTATAAGATCCAGTACAACCTTCTCCCAACAACTCGAGTTATTGGGACCGACTGCTTTTTTTTATAATAACCTTTTACTAGGTGACCCGTTTTACCCGACCTGTTTGACTTGTTTAGGGACTGACGGGAATAAGTACTCTCATCGAACTGACCTATCCCGACCTACCCTAATATTGCTTAAATTACATGTAATAATTACTTAGAATTTTCCTTTTATGACATCATATTTTAGCTATAATTAAAATTATAATAATTTAGTGAAAACCTCAATGTCTCTACCGATTTAACTACATTTATCATCTTATGGTTTGTTTCTTGGTTTTATATTGAAAATAATAAAATTTTCAATTTTTTCATATAAATTACATACGAATTGGATCGACATGCCCCAACCCGCGACCTATGATAAATTACTCGATTTAGACCCGACCTGCCACGAGACGAGTATGGATATCAAAATACCCACCCGAACCTGCCTCATTATCATTCTTCTCTGGGTTATCTTTACCTTCAAATTCTTGTGGCAAGAAATAATTGAAAATTTACTTAAAAAAAAAATAAGTAAAGGGACAACAATTTGGACATGATCATAGAAAAAAAATTCATTAATTTTCCCCATGAAATCATCTGGCTATTAAACTTTGTTACAAAGAGTTGACCTTAGGTTGTGTATATGTATTAAATACTGGCCAGCAAGACAGCAACAATTAATTAATAACAAAGAGGAGAACAGTTATCTTACATTGTGCATGATCTCAAAATTTAGGAAACCTTGAATTTACATTTCGTGTCGTCTACAAATGAAATTAGTAGTAGGGTAAAATATGTACACCACTTGACACTTCTATCGGAAATTAAAATTGCGTCAACAATCATTTGAAAGAAAAAAAAGTATACATCAACTGTCAAGAACCAGTTGATCTCAATAATTCGAGTTGTTGGGAGAGGTTCAATCGTGGATCATATACCGTTTACTAACACCCCTTCAAACTCAAGCCATTCATATAGGTTTGGAGTTTGGACAGGCACAGGTCCGGACACCTTGTGTTTAACAAAAGGCTCTGATACCATATCAAGAACCAGTTGATCCCAATAACTCGAGTTGTTGGGAGAGGTTCAATCGTCAATCATATACCGTTTACTAACCTCAACGAAAAAATCACTCGCTAAATTGTACTTCGTCACCTGAAAAGATCGAGGAAGTCGGAGATTCCACAACAGACGACAAATTCGATTCGCCAGAGGTCGACAAACAACAAAAGTGAAAATCAATTTGCAACCTCCGAAGAAGCGACAGCGTCGAAACTTGATCCTCCTCACCTTTCTGCTCTTCTTCCTCCAGCTCCCCAACCGTCACGGCGGCCAAGAACCTCTTCATATACTCTCCACAACACTCTTTCCCTTCACAAACCACCTTCCACCCTTCTTCCTCCACCACCTCCTCCGCCGCCGCCGCCGCTGCCTTCTCGTACATCACCGCCGACTCATCAAACTTCAACACGTAAGCTCGATCGCAGCCTTCGTACAGCCGTTCCCCTAGCGAGTCAATTATGTAGTAAGCATCGGACTCCACCTTCAGCAAGAAGAAATGATCGTTCCAGCTCACAATGTACACCACCGCCACCTCATCCTCCCGTTGACCGCTGACTTTGGCCCTACTATTGCTGACGTGGGACCACACCTCGTCAAACGACGTCGCGCCACTTAAGTTGTGGAATTTCTCCGGGCTGAAGATCCCGGTGAAGGAATCGTCCGGGGAGAGGGTCAGCGGCCGCCGGAGGTTCGCGAGGACGGTGTCGAGGTCGAAGTGGTTGTCCGGGAAGGAGCTCCGGTGGGACTCGTCGTGGCAGAGCTTCCGCCACTCCGACGAGCCTTCGGCGATCAGGCCGTCGAGCTGTGGCCGCGTCGGGATGGATCGAGGGTGGGAGTGGAGCCAGTGAGCGATCACGGCGACCACGGCGGCGCAGGCGCTCTCTCCGGCGGCCTTCTCGCTCCGCTGGTCGAACGAGGCGAGGAAGATGTTGCCGTTGACCAGCTTGGCTCCTCCGTCCCTGCTTATCAGCTCTTTCTTCGCCTCCCAGTTCCCGTCGGCAGAGTGAGCTGACGGCGGTGGGGAAGGCGGAGAGGGATTCGGTTGATGACGTGTCTTCCAGGATAAACCGAAACTTAGTCGTCTTTTCTTCTGCTGAGTCGGACATGACGTGGCGACCGGGTCGGAAGCCGTTTGTCCTACTCGTTCCTTGGCGGAAGGAAGGGGTAATGTTTGCTGATGTGGCGCCTTGTCACCATTCGTGACCTCAGCAAAGCTCACGCTTACCTACATTGGAAAAAGTCAGAAAGAAGTTTCTTATTAGAGTCAGAATCATACCCCTTTTATTAATCCTTAATTCACAATTAGTTGAGTTAATTAGCTTAGAATCTAACTAGACCGGTCAATTTTAGCGGCTGTTGTCCTAATAATTAGGACAAAGGGGGAAAAGGAGAAAGGCGAGAATCAGAAGGCCAGATTGCTTAATTGCCAAGTCGTAGTGTTGGACATTGATAAGATACATGAGGTGGAATATTAGAATTTATTCTCTTAATTAATCATGTTGAGGATATTAATTACTTAGTCAAAATGTAATTAATTCCTTGTCCAACAAGTCCCTTGTTTCCTTGTCCGGGTAAAAGAGGGAACTTGGTTGTCTTTAGGGTTTTAACCCTAAGTCGTTCTCTATAAAAGCTTAGCTATGGTTCTGTCATAAGCAAGCCGTCACAATGTAGTCCCTAATAAAATATCAGTCGTGAGCTCGTTCCGAGCTCACCGTGGATTAGTCTCGATCAATCAATCGATCGAGGATACCACGTAAAATCTTGTGTTCTGTGTTCTTTCGTATTTCCGCATCATCAAATTCTACATGGTATCAGAGCGAAATTCGATCCTTGATTAGGGTTTGAGCTTCTGTCCCAAGATCCGGTCGTAGCCATCGCCATCATCGATCTCGTCCGCGCCCTAGTCGTCGCAATCAAACACGACCGCCATCGATTCATCTCCTAGCTCCCGCCAACGTCGACCTCTCTATTTGGCCGCCATCGCTCCATCTCCTGTTGCCGCGCCGCCAGGTCGTCATTACCGTGCAACCAGCCTCGGCATGAGTAGAGGCAAAGGGCGAGTGGAGGCCGGAGAAGGGTTTCCAAACCCAATTTTCACACTTTGGGCGCCAGATGGCTTCCATCTTGAAGATAGTCAAGTTCTCACCAGCCAGTTAAACCAAGGAGTAAGTTGTCGCTCCACTCATTATTGACAAGTCAGCCGTCAAGTTCAGAAGGCAGCCGCTGTCTTGTTATTTGGTCAAGAAGTCTAGTCTTCATCGTGATCGGGTCATCCTTTTCAAGGTCACATAGAAAGCAAGTCTTCAACAACATCGAAGTCATGGCGTTGAAGATAATTGTGACCTATAGTGGTCGCCTCTTCAATAGCTAGTGTTGGGGAGTTACAGCTTTCGTCAACAAAATTTTCAAGTCAGCAAGCGAGGCAGTCACGATCAAAGAAGCGATCGTCCCCTCTGCGTTCAGCATTGGTCAATTTTGATTCATCACCATTCTAACTTTCAAGCTGGGCATTCACGTCGTTCATGCTCCAGCTTGAGGGGGAGAATAGAGAGTCAAGTCGTTCAGGAGATGCAGTCAGCCATCTCCACCATATCATACGGATAGACGTAGTCAATCGTCTCCGTCAAGTCATTCAAGAGACGTAGTCAACCGTCTACGTCAGGTCGTTCAAGGGACGCAGTCAATCGTCTCCATCACGACGTTCAAGAAGATGCAGTCAACTATCTTCATCAGGTTGTTCAAGGGAGAGAGTCAGTCGTCTCCAAATCAACCTCGTCTGAGATGTTATTCATCTCGAGTTTTGTTGTTCAAGCTTGTCATGCTTGATCGTCACATTTCCTTTTTCAAGCTCGACATTCTTGTCACTCATGTCTTCGCTTGAGGGGGAGTGTTGAGGATATTAATTACTTAGTCAAAATGTAATTAATTCCTTGTCCAACAAGTCCCTTGTTTCCTTGTCCGGGTAAAAGAGGGAACTTGGTTGTCTTTAGGGTTTTAACCCTAAGTCGTTCTCTATAAAAGCTTAGCTATGGTTCTGTCATAAGCAAGCCGTCACAATGTAGTCCCTAATAAAATATCAGTCGTGAGCTCGTTCCGAGCTCACCGTGGATTAGTCTCGATCAATCAATCGATCGAGGATACCACGTAAAATCTTGTGTTCTGTGTTCTTTCGTATTTCCGCATCATCAAATTCTACAAATCATAATTAATCAATTATAGTGATACATTATACGTATATATGACACACGGACATACAACACGACATATGGACATACAACATAGAATGATTTAATTTTGCTAATATTTTGTGTTCGCCGCAATTTTGTAATTGCAAATCATACGATCGAGAATTCGTACGTACCACGAGAATTGCTTGAGAGCGGACGACATCGTGAATGTGCAAAGAAATAGGAAGGCTAATGATGTGAGAATCAATCGTCGTGCGAGAACCCAATAGTTCTGCTATGTTGAACGAAACACTCCCCGCTGTTGTTAATTTCGTGTTCCTGAATTCTTCTTCCTTTCCCTGCAATTCAAAAATCCATCAAATCTTCAATCGCTCGTGGACCGGGCCGGAGAGACAATCTCTGGACCAAGCCCATCTCATAAGAAACGTAGGGAGAGACTTACGCAGAGAACGCTGAACGTTACATCCCAGGGAGAAAACGAAGACGACGCCGTGCCGAAGCTGCAAATGTTCTCGAACTCTTCTCCGTCCCATTCAACCTCCGTCGCCGCCGACTCCTCCTCCACCTCCTCCTCCTTCTCGCCGGAATTTTCATCAGAATCGGTGATGCTGCGACGCCGTCTCAAGAACTTGTGGGTGCTGTAATTACTCGGCTGTGACGACCTCATCATCGAGAACCCACGGCGCAGTACTCCTCCGGCCGACTTGGGGCCGTCCCATTTCACCTTCAGTACCACCATTTGAGACGACGGAGATGGTGACGTCAGGATCCCCTCCAGCCTCAATGGCTTCACCGTGACCCTATACTTCTTCTCCGTCGCCGCCGACCACTTCACCATATTTCCCAAATTAAACCAACCCAGCCCGCCGGCCCTCGGAGATTTCACGCGCGATTTAAAACTAATTTGGGGGAACGAAACAGAATATGGAATATTAGAGAGAATGAATGCGAATGGATGATGGCGATCGAGAGAGAAAAGAGTTTTTGTAGTTCTTGGCTTTTTGGTAATGTTTTAATGTATTATTATTTTTTTCGTCGTTATCTCTTCGTCCGTAGTATAGTATATACCATACGGGAAAAGGTATTTTTTCTTCGTTGGTTTGGTTTGTCGCTACGTGCAAATGGAATGACGTGTCGTGCTGGTATTGGTAGTTACGTTCCTGTAACGCGACCAAGTCTGACATTTCCTTACGCGGGGGAAAAATTGGCGTCACGAGGGATTGCCGCGAGGCGACACGTCAACACGGAGGCTGAGATGGCTCCGCAAGCGGTTTTGGCCCACATGCTTTAAGAATTACGCGTATTAGTACGTTGAGCCCAACAGAAGGAAATAAGGTAAGTAAATAGCCCAATCTTTGTTGGTACTTGGTACCCATTCGAATCAAAACTGGGCCGATCAGCGTACGTCTTCATGGGCCCAAATGCTCGACCTCTTTCTATTCTTAGATTCCCAGCCAGCCAGCCTCATGAAGTTCTCATTCATGTTTTGGGCCAATAAGTGGATTCTCATTTCCAGTTGTGAAAATTACACTTTCACCACTCTTAACAGTTTCCGTTGGAAGAAGGGAAGGAACTCAATGCTCGAAAGAGCGGAAAGAAAGAAGGCCGAATCTTATCGCATAACAGAACACTGTAGTAACGACTAGCGAGTAGGAAGGAAGGAACTCCAAAGCAGAGCTTCTCCCTCTGCTCAGCTACTGCGGAGCCCTTTTTCTTCTTCTTTGTTTGGGTATTTTCTTGCATTAGGGCGTGAACCGCTGGTTCAATTATGAAGCCGTTAACGATTTCTCGCACCAAACCCTCTCTTCTCTCCTCCAATCCCTTCTGCTCTCCGTCTCTGACCTTCAAACTTCCCATTATATCCCGGCGGTCCGTCGATTTTCGCTGCGAATCCCTCCGTCGCAGTGACACCGGTACGTAGCTCGTCAATTTTCTTCTAATGGGGTTTTCTTGCCCTCTGCAGTTGCATTTCTTGAATTTGTTTTTTCTGCAGGGGAGGATTCTAATGGGGTTTCTCTGAGGCGAAGGAAAATGCTTGTTTCCTTATCCACTCTTCCTCTCGTAAATGGTCTCCAAGTATCATTAGATGGGTTTAAAGCTGCCATTGCTGCCGAGTGAGTTTCTTCTGCCTTCTCTCTGCTTGTTGGGTTTGATTTTCTTTTGTTGTAGCTCATCCTAGCTTGGTAGCTTAATGACACTTGTGTTAGAGTGTGGCAATGAGACTCAAGACTTGCAATTGACGACTTCAAATCTTTGTTTATTGATACAAAAAGATCAGGCGAGAGCGCTTATCTGTCGGTGAAGGAAGAGGTAAGGAAGGTGGTGTCGAAGGGCAAGGCTGCGGGTGTGCTTCGTCTTGCTTTCCATGATGCAGGAACCTTTGAGATTAGTGGGACATCAGGTACAACTTTCGATTGCAAAATCTCCCCGCTTCATGTTTTGTAGCTGTATACATTCTGCTTTTACAACCTTGAGCATCGAGCTTCTGTGGCTACCTAGGTTCCTTTGAGCGTTCTAAAAGAGCTGAATCGCAAGCAATAGTTTGTTTTCTTTATCTCGACTTGTACATCATAATCAAGTATGAGGGATCACTTGCATTTGTGGTTAATCCACTATAATCCACTGTTGATAGTTGAATAGCACCATGGCAACAGTAGACATCCTGGTGCTTCTTGGGAACTAGTTCTGAATGTAAATGGTTTTCATTGTTGCTCCTGAGTGGTTGGACGTAAACCCTATGCCTCTCTTACCTTTGGATTTTGGTCACTAAATATGGTTGGTGTGCATTGGCTTGTAGAAGCTACAGGGGGTATGAATGGCTCTATAATCTATGAGCTGGACAGGCCCGAAAATACAGGGTTAAACAAATCCGTGAAGGCAAGGTCTCTTACTATCTAGCTCTTCAGAAGCTAACATTCTTGTGTCTCTCCACTTTCTTGAGCTCTAAATGTGTACAAACTGCTTATATAATTGTACAGTTTCAGTGAAATCCCCAAAATTACACAAACCTCATGCAACCCTGCAAGCTAACTCTTTGAGTCAGTGTTTCTGGTTTAGGTTCTGGCAAAGGCGAAAAATGTAGTGGATGCGATGCAACCAGGTTCATATCAAATTCTTAAAGGTTTTCGTTAAGGAAGATATGACGGTGCCTTGCTAACATGGAATTTCTCTGTCAGTATCCTGGGCAGACATGATTGCTCTTTCTGGCGCTGAAGCAGTTTCAATCTGTGGAGGTCCCACAATTCCACTTCAGATGGGCAGAATGGATTCAATGTAAATGACATCCTGCCTTCACACCTTTGTGTTTCTAAAAATTCACATCGGGTAGTGGACTTTCAAGGTTAAGGTTATATTCCAATTGTTTAACTAACAATGAACTGAGCCATTGATTTAGCAGGATATTGAGATCATCAAAAAGGGTTCAGTGTTCTTATTATTCTTATTGATCCATTATTTCATCATTACAGGCAACCTGATGCAGAGGGGAGACTTCCTCGGGAATCGCTCGATGCTGCTGGTTTGAAGCAGTGCTTTCAAAGAAAAGGCTTTTCGTGAGTCGGAACAATCATTAGTATATATTCCAAGCATGAAAGAAAACAAGTCAATACTCAGATATTTCATATCCTTTCTTGCTTTCTTATTCTTAGTACACAGGAACTTGTTGCACTATCTGGAGCTCACACTCTTGGTAGTAAAGGCTTCGGGGACCCAGTTGTTTTTGATAATTCTTACTATAAGATTCTTCTGAAGAAGCCATGGACGTCCCCAGGTGACTCAACCTCAAATCTGGTTATCATCCTCGCTTCTGTGTTATTTTTTTGGGTCCTGAACTCTCTGTATCCAAATACTATCTCTCTTTCACACAGGTGGGAGTTCGAGCATGATTGGGCTTCCTTCTGACAACGCACTTATGGAAGATAATGAATGTTTAAGGTTCGCTCTGAAACCTGGTCCAGCTTTTCAATCTTTTCATGATTATTGCATTCTTTCTTTCAGTAAAGATCATGATGATTATTGCATTGGCATGGCGCACATTGTTTATTCTGATGAATGATGAGGCCTTAAATGCAGATGGATCGAATTGTATGCGGATGATCAGGATGCATTCTTTCAAGATTTCAAGAATGCATACATCAAACTCGTGAACTCTGGTGCAACATGGAAAGGCTCTTAGCAAAGTTTTGATAAATGATCTTGCGTCCTAGAAAAGTTTCAGGCTGAATTAGTGAGGAATGGAGTGACAAGCAAAGCAGGGAGCATATCCTTGGTGGTAGTGCCAGAATTGGTGTAGCCATCAGCATCCTTGTAGAGGACATCCATAACCTGTGCAATCCCTAGAAGGTGCTGAAAGAACTTGCTTATCGATGTATGTCATCCTTTCTATAACCATACATATATTGCTTTCTCTATACTTCATTTTACACAGAAGACACAAAACCTTGCCAACTAGTACGTAGTGATTAGGGAGGAAATATGTCATCCTTCCTGTAGTAATTAAGCATTAATTAAAGAAAAATTATAGAAATGAGGACTCTATAATAAGGATGTCTATCCTTTTTTCCCCAGGAGGTTTCCTTTGGCATTGTCATCCTTTCAAGACATTGCATCATATGCTATTGGAATCAAAGTGCAAACTATGCTTCCTTCTAACTAATCCTAGTTCCAAAATACTCAGACATATCAAGATTCTCTAAGTGATTTCCCTTGTAATCACTCGGATGATCAAGGAACATTGCTGGAAAGAATTGATCAGGTTCTCTCCAATATCGAGGATCTCGACCGATTACCCAAGCATTGATGATAACTTTAGTTTGTAAAGGAATTTCATAGTCAAGGATCTCCACCCTTTCTCGAGCTTCTCTCGGAAGAAGTAAAAAATTGATGGGTGCAATCTTAAACTCTCTTGAATAACTAAGTATTGATAAATCATATTATGAAGATCTCTCTCGTTAACGTTTCTTTTACCGCCAAATGCTTGCCTCACCTCACCTTATACCCTTTGCATCACATTTGGATTCTTGATCAATTCAGACATAATCCACTCTAATGTTCTTGCACTTGTTTTCGTTCCAGCAAGTAACATGTCCTAAGTACAACTATAATAAAATCACATTAGAAAGTTGAATACCGTAAACTAAATCTAACCATTGCAGCTAGAGAAATGTTTGAAATATGATTTTCGACTCCAAACCACATAAAGAACGAGACTAGATTAGGAATGGCAATTTGAACCCGCTTCGAAGGGTATTACCCGACCTGATCCGCGATGGGGCGGGATTGGAATGGGGGCACAGGTATCAACTTCCGCCCCGCCCCATTGTTGGGTCGTGGCTTAATTGCAAGTTTGGTCACTGGAATTGCTTAAAATTTTTATATTTGCCACTGGAATTACTTTATTCTATCCGTAGTCACTTAAATTAGTTCATCAGTTCAAGTTTGGTCACTCTCCGTTAGTCTCCGTTAATTTTGACTGACGTGGCAGTCAACTCTGAGAGTTGACCGTTAAACGTGTGACGTGACAATTAAAAAATAAAAAATTAATATTTTCAATTTTCCACCTCATCATACAAAAATTAAAAAGTAAACTAAATGTACATATCCGGGCGCTCCACCCTCTCGGCGCCTTCCGCCGCCACCGTGTTCATCAGCTCAGCCCGAAGATCTCCCTCTCGAACATCATCCTCTTCGGGTCCTCCCGCCCCAGTGTGCACTCGAAAATGTCGAACAACGACGAGAAGTGGAACATCGCCTTCCGGAACCGCGTCACGAAGAAGGGCGCGTTGTACGCGCCGTTGATCACGGTCTGCACGAATATGTCCGGCTTCACCCTCTTGATCAGGTTCAGCACCGCGTTCCTCGGGGAATTTGAATCGATCTACTCTTAGGAAATTCCATCCCACCAGCACCGTAATGAAATCCGCCAATCTTCTCGCCGTCACCGTAAGTACCCCCAGCTACTATTGCTGGCGACGCCTGACTACTACTATTACCCCACTACCACAAAAATTACCAACGAATCATGTTCTAAATTGCCAAAACCTGTTTCTCAAACCCGATCTCCCGACCGAATTCTCGTTCACCATCGCCGCCGACGCCGCCCAGTTGCTCCCGGTGAAAATAGAGCTCCCCTGTTCCGCTGCGGCATAAACAGAGGACGCTGCACTCGCCAGAGCAGAGCCCGGAATCGTCCCCAAGATCTCCATTTCGGCCGCGAAAAACTTCAACCCATCTCCCTTCCATAGCTTCTTCACGACAACTGTGGTTCCCTTCTAATTCAATTCCAAGCGATAGACTTTCCCTGCACCTCCAAAGCCAATCACATTTTCTTCTTTCAAATTGCTTGTCGAGATCCAATATCTCATCCGCCTGGATCTCAAATTGGTGAAACGAGACGTTCCATTTTGGCTCTGCTTCTTCTTCCTTCTTCTTATCCCTCTCCAGGCTGAGCTCTAAATCGGACAATTCGTGCTTGAAGTTCATATAGCTCGCGAATAGAAGCCAGGCTAGAGTGAGGACTAGAGCGACTGCTGGAGCAGTGAACAATGCGAGCTTTAATGATCCAGAGCTCTTCCCTTCTCCTTGAACTAGTTGCCACCGATTTCCACTCCCGCAGCGAGAAGGAAAAAATCAGGTTGAATTATTATTTGTAATTATAATTATATTTTGTTTTATGTATTTTTTATTTTATTGTGATAATTAGGTGGCACTTTTAAAATATTGATTTTTTTTAATTTTTAAATTGCCACGTCACTTATTTAACGGTCAACTCTCAGAGTTGACTGCCACGTCAGTCAAAGATAACGGAGAGTGACCAAACTTGAACTGATGAACTAATTTAAGTGACTACGGATGGAATAAAGTAATTCCAGTGGCAAATATAAAATTTTTAAGCAATTCCAATGACCAAACTTGCAATTAAGCCGGCCGTTCTAGGTCAATTTCTTATGATATCTATTCATATATCTCCTATTTTGGTTTTTCTTGAACTAGTTAAACTTAATGTTTCAACTAAATAGACTCAATTACCCATTATATTATCACTATTATTCAATCACGAAGTCTTTTCCCCTTCGTTTTATCATAAAAAGTAAATTTTTGCTTGTATTTTTCAGGATTCCCTGCCCTATACCCACGTGGATATTACCCACACCGACCCGTAATAGAGTGAGGAAGGGTATGGATATTGAGTTACCCGCCGACCCATTGTCCTCACTACCAAAACGACCGCTTTGACGGAGTCAGTGGTCAACGGGAAATCCAATTCACTTACCAAAACGGCGGTACCACTATTTCGACGTCGAGCTTTGTGTTCGTTCGTCGATGATGTCCGCCAGCATCGCATCAGTCGCTAGATGCAACCTGACGAGGCACGATCGATACCCGGTCAGCGTCGGAAGAAATTTAACAGAAGGTAACAAATTTGATACTCTGAAACCGCCCACAGTATCTGAAACCCCGTAAGGCGTAAATGATCTCCCTCAACATCGGTTCCTTATTATTCGCCATCACCTCCGCCGCCGCCATCTCCAACGCTGCCCTGAACATAAATCTGTACATCGACGACCCCACCAGCTTGCTGACGTCGACGCCGAGCTTGGAGGCTTCGGATTCCCTGGATCATTATTTTTAATATCGTAAGGAAATTTTAAATAATTCACTGTGTAAGATGTATGCATTAGGTAACCAGTTCGCGGAGCGAGAGCGGGAGCGGGAGCGGGAGCGAGAGCGTGAGAGCGTCATTTTCATAAGAACTTAATTTCGAGAGCGTGATGAGAGCGTCATTTATTATATAATTTTTTATTTTAATATACTTGAAAAGGTAGTATATAGAAAACTATTCAAATATATTTATATTAACAAGTAATGAACCATAAAACATTAATGAATAAATGTTTAATTAAATGGAAGTTAGGTATATTTCACAACAACATTTAGAATTTATCAACCCTTCTTTCCATTCTATCATGTCATTAAATTATAATAATTTGGAATTTAAATAAAAACTAAACGAAAGTTGAAGATTACTGCACAAAATTATAGAATCCAAGATTAAATGGTCTTTGGGCTTCCCATCCACATTTCTGTTCCAAAAGCCCATTGTTCCGTTGATGAACCCAAACAAAAGTGAATAATTCCTTTCCACATCTAATGTCTTTCCTCATTCTGAAGCTTGGTGTCGGTTCTTCTTCCAGTTCACCGCCGACTGCTGGTCGCCAAATCTCCCCGACGCGAAGACCCCTTATTCCTACAGAAGGAAGTACTCCTCCATCCCTTCAAAATACAGATCACTACTTGCTAGTAGCTCGTTCCTTTTCAGTCCAACCATCGCTTAATTAGTCGGCAATCTCCTCCGTCCATTAAGAATTGATTGCTGCAGTGTTCTCGGTGAGTCTATTCCCACTACCCCGGCAAAGCCAATGTCTGAAAGGGCCACTTTAATCGGATTCTCGTTCTCCCTCAACAAACTCGCGATCCCGCAAAAGTAATTCGCGCTCCCAGCAAAATGAATTCGCGTATTATACACGAATTGCCGAAAATTCGCGTTTTAGCGAATTGGAGCGTGAGCGTGGGTCTGGAACCCACGAATTGGGTATCCTAATGTATGCATATGGTATCAATCTCATCAACATATCATATCAAATAATCACTTATGATTTTTTTCAGTCAATTAGATACAAACGATTGTTTTTCACATCGCTCATTGCATTGTACGATTAAGTAGCAACAATGATAAGTTACTTACTTCTCTGTCTAGTTTTAGACAAGATATTATTTTCAGAGAGAATCCATAGGTAGGAACTTGAGAATTTGTGCATTATAATATATTGTAAGGGGTACTGGGTAGATTTGTACGAATAACTCTTGTCCTATATTGATATCACTCAGAAATATAATTTGTGCAGGCCGGCCCCCACTGATTTTGTTTCCTCTCAATCCAACGGTTCATTAATTAACCTTCTGGCACCTATCGCAAACGTTCTCTAGAGATGTGTAACTTCCAATGTTTCTGGATGAATACATATGATAACGGTGTGTATGGTGCCGAATCAGTTTTGATCTGTGGAGGCCCAACAATCCCAACTCTATGGACAAATTAATAGGCTCGATATTCTAGTGATCCAACCTTCACGACTTTTGTAGTATAAGGATTCATGTATATCGAAGGGTGTAGTCTCCATATTCTCAAAGCATATTCCAGCCATAGTGTCAGCACAAGTATATCTTGAGCTAACTGATAGATGATAGCAATAATTTGGCACAAATTGGGAAGTCACTGAGGAAGTGGTCCAAATTAACTTAGTCAGCAGTGACGCTCAAATGCGAAATAATGGTGTGAGTGACAATCACTTTCCTTTCCTGTATGATGGGATTGGCACGGTCAATTATTTGCTTGTGCTAGCTTGTCTTAAAAGGTCATTGATAAGCTCCAATGGCCACTGGATCGCAAAAATCAAGCGATGGAAATTGAAACATACTAGTTATCCTGAAGATTTTTCGGTAGCTCTAATGGTATGGTCTTCTGAATTCCTGAGATGTGATTGTGGGGACATTATCAAAAGGAATCAATCACCCGCCTCGAACTAGAGGATTAATTTTTCATGTAATCTTTTACCGCTTGTATTGGAAACATTTTGAAATTACGTTTTTAATAATACATAATGTAATATGTTAGTTTGTATTGGAAACAGATATATGAATGAGATAGATAAAAAAAAAATATATTGAAAATGATAAAACAATTGTTTTTTTGAACCAGTTAATTCCATTTCCATAAACTCAATTCCCGCCGATTTCCAATTCCAAAATTTAGGTCAAATGGGATTCATTCTCAAATCAGTTTCAGCTCCAAACACAAACATCACAAGTGAAAATAGAATTTCATTTGCTGTTTTTAATTTCCCTATCCAATCAGAGTGTTGGATATTTCATGTCGGTATGCAATATGGACACATGTAGTCATGTCAATCAATTATGTGATCATGGAAATTTTATATTTTTATATTATTATCAATTTCAACATTTTAAGCTAACCTGTGGTAGATTTATTAAAATAGATATACATTAAAAAACATTCATGGTTATATCAATACATACTTCCTAATGATTATGGTCGTAAATGAGAAGTCTGAAATTATATATATCTAGCCGTAGAATAACAACCATAAATATATCATAACGATCATAGAAGTCTTGCATACTTGCCTATTATTTGAAGTACAAAATGACGTGACAACAACATTCCTCCTATTAATTTATTGCAATTAAAATCCAAAACGGATTGTCTACAAAACACTATAAAGCAATGTATAAAAACAGCTTTTGCCACGTAAGCCTTTGCTGAAAGCGCCGCACATTGCGGAGGGCCTTTATTGTCAATTCATAATCCATCTCTTCCTCCGCGGTATTGCCTTCCAACCTCCTACCGGAAAGCGAAAAGCTCTCTCCCTCCGTCTCTTACCGACTTCAATCTGAAACTGAAATCCCCCATTGTTCTTTTTTCCACAATCTCAAATCGAATCCCTACTGTCGCCTTCTATGCTCATCGCAGCTCACCATACCTCCGACATTTTTTCCACGCTCAAGCTGAAATCCAAACAGCCCACTGTCGCCCTCTCAGTGCTTGCTCGATTGTCGATGTGTTTATTTCCATCTACTCTGTCTTGCGAGGCCTCGGAAAAAATCCCAACTCCTCTCCCGCTTGCCGTCAGTCTCGCGGGTCAATCTATCTCTCTCCCAAGACCCTCCGAGAAGAAAATCTCTCTGCCTCTCGCTCGCTCTCACAACATAAGCTACCTCTAACCATCACATCACGCACACTTCGGGATGCTTAACCGCCCTCTCCCACCCCTTTTTGTTTCTCTCTCTCTCTGTTCTCATTCATCGCCCATCTCTGACTTCGTGAGACTGTCTCTCTTATCTCTTGCAAACAATCCAATCTTTGGTGTTTAATCTGTTCCAAGTTCAATCCTGCTCTCGCAAACTCTCTTGAAACTTCCGCCGCAGCGCCACCGCCACAGAATCAAAAAAATCTTGCGCTCCCCAGCGCTACTGCTGCTGGACCCAAAAAGTATTGTCGTCGCCCCTTCTATTTCCCGCGCCCAGCCTTTTAGCAAGATTCCTCGCAATGAGTCAATTGATTATTTCCAAGTTCCTTCAAAATTTCTAAAATTAATAGTTGTGGACGGTCATTGTTGTAGAGCTAAGGGGTTAGGTCAATCGAATTTGATAGTTCTGAGAGTAGTGCAGATTTCACACATGGTGTGAATGTGATTAATACAAGGTCAAATGTCGTTGGCGAGTGCTCTGCAAATTTATGTAACCTTTGTCTTCCACATCCTTTGCAAAGAAACAAAAGACTACAGTTTAATAACTTCATTTTCTCTAATTGTTGTCCAGTTAATCCTGCTGTACTATTTCTCTCACAAATATAAGATCTCCATTATTCATACTCGAATTGAACTGCGATAATAGTTGATCATCGTGTTGTCAAAGTTGATAAAGGAGTAGCTTGATCAAATTACTAAAATAATTTTGTTGTCATTGCATCAAGTATTACCTGTATGCTACCATCACATCTTATAGCAGTTGTTGTATTTAAGGATATTATTTTTAGTAGTACATCTTTAACTTATATAATTAGTGGTTATTACAGGATCCATGTGGTTGTGTCTGTCTGTCTGACAATTGAGCAATACTGCTATGATCAGTGTAGATAAAGGTCCAACTTAGGAACATTATATTTGGTAGTTTGCTTTTCATTTGTGGGATGTTAGTGCATGATTTGCTTTGCATGTTTGTAAATAATTTCAACTCTTGTGTTTTGCTTATAATTGGAGTTTCATGTTGTGTTAATTGATCAAACAGCAACTTATTCCTGATTATGAGCAACAAGGGCTCCTCAATCTCTTGACCCCATCTATGAGCAACAAGGGCTCTTTTCCAGAATCAAACTAATGAAAAAATAGAAATAACAAATCAAGTTAATGATCTATTCTTAACTAAAATTTTTTTGTATATAAACAAGAACTTGGCTGAAAAAGGAACCAATGCGGCTTCTATTAGGAAGAAAGCCAATTTGGATGGTTTTCCTCCTTGAATTATTATATATTTATGCATAACATTGTTGAGCACGTGGTTTACTTCAAGACACATCTCTACTACTAGCACAAATAGAGATCATGAATAGCTTCTTGGTTTCAGTAGAATGGTTTGTAAGATTGATACTTTTATATAGAATTTTATATATATTATAGAGTTGTAGAGTTGTATCGAACTTTCAATTTTTGAAAAGATGTGCATTTCCAGGTCTATATATATTATATGTTTGTTATAATTAACTATGCAATTAGGACTTCCAATTTGCAGTAGAATGTCAATTTAGTTACCTTACAAATGGCACTTGCTAAGCCCATAAGATTAGCTAGGTTTGGTCAGTCCTTTGGGGGAGTGGCAACGTGAAATGCCTGAAGTTATTCAATAATCCTGTGAGTTATATGAATCCACTATATCTAAATGAAATAGTTGCTACACATGTCAGAGAGAAGTTTGTTGCAACAGCTAATTTTATCATTTTTTAGCATGAAGGTATGCAATTTTTTTTTTTTTTGAGTAATAGGTGATGTGTTGTTCCAATCAAATCAGAGGAAGAAAGAACTCATTTCATCTCATATCCAATAGGTTGTTAACATGACACACTAAAATTTTATGTTAAACTTACTCGATTCAACTTCTTGAATCCTCAAGCTGAGTATTTTGTGGTTAGCATTAATCATGATCCACTTCAAGTAGATGATGAACATTTCAGTTGCATTTCACTTCAATTTATCTAAAGGGTACCAAGTTAATTTAGTAGATTACATCTTCTCTTATTACTCTAATTCGATTGTCGACTGATTGTGACACCAAGACTTGAGAACCTAGGAGAGACAATCTTATTCGGGCTGAAAAGGGAACATGTTCTGGACTGTGACCCAAGGAGGAATAATATTGTTGGAAACTTTGTGTAGTAAAGGGCCACAAAGCTTCTGATTAGTATTATGTTTCCATCTATGTCATAATTTTAGTATTATGCTTTCATTTAGGTTGATATGGAAACTCAGTCTCTAGGTTTTCCCCTTATGGATTATCTCCTTTTGTTTTGTTTCAATTGTGGAACACAATGATGTTTTTTTTGCTACAATTTTTTCTTCTATGTTGGATAGTTTTCCCTTATGGATTGTCTTCTTCTCAAGTTTGGTTCAGCTAGCAAATCAATCTCAAGGTTAGTCGAAACTGAATATAGCTCTCTATATGGTATGAATGAAAAGCAGTTGAGAAGGTTTGATGCATTGTTTTGGATACTCTGATTGTTCGTGTTCTTTTCTTTTTGCCTGTTGATGTGTAGTCTCTTTGGAGATCAATTTGGAGGATTGCACTTTTGTTTAATTTTATCATCTACATTATTATTTTTAACCATGGATTTATTGGTTACTATTATGCTTCATTGAATAGAAATCTAAAATGGATGCTTTTATCAAAAGATAGCGTTGTTATATATACTCTATTGAGTCTGTTATTTTCCACGACATAAAATATCTTAAGATAAATTTTATGATTAGCATAACCATTAGCTACATATTTTTCTACAAGTTCTAAAGAACACCGGCCAACGGGCCGGGCCCAATGCTAGTTTTATATATACACATGAAGGAAAAGTTGAGACAAATAAGAAACAAACATACTAATTAAGACCTTAACTAAGCATAAACATTGAAGATTCGACTTATAAACGAGGATGATGAACATGAACCTCAATCTTTTCCAAGAAGTTGCACTCCGTCTTGCCATCCTTCCAAGCAGTTGCGTGCATCGTATGGTAATGGAATCAAGTGCAAGCTATATTTTCTACCAACCATGGAACCAAAACTCTCAGACATATCAAAATTCTCGTGAGTAATTCCGGTAGAGAGTTTCCAGTCAAAGTGATATAGTAGATTTGCTAGTATCAGTTTCACAGAAGCTAATGCTAATGACATTCCAGGACACATCCTTCTTCCGGAACCAAAAGGGATGAACTCCAAATTGTTCCCCTTATAATCAATTGGATGATCAAGGAACCTTTCCGGGAAGAACTTGTCGGCTTCTTTCCAATAACGAGGATATCGCCCAATAGCCCAAGCATTGACGATGACTTTAGTTCCGGAAGGGATCTCATAGCCAAGGATCTCCACCGTCTCTCGAGCTTCTCTTGGAACAAGCAAAGCAACTACAGGGTGCAATCTTAAACTCTCTCGTATAACCAAGTCCAAATAAGTCAGATTATGAAGATCCTCCTCATCCACCTTTCCTTTACAGGCAAACGTTCGTCTCACCTCTTCTTGTGCTTTCTGCATCACACCCGGATTCCTCATCAATTCGGACATGGTCCACTGTACTGTTGTTGAGCTCGTTTCGGTACCAGCCAGAAACATGTCCTAATTAAAAATAATCGTTTGTTTTTTTGTGAGAAAAATCAAGAACGGGCTTCAAAATCGTAGGGACATGATGACACTTACCAAAACGACTGCTTTGATGGATTCGGTGGTCAACGGGAAATCCAGTTCGGTTCCATCCTCCTGGAGATTGAGAAGAATATCCACCAGATCCTCGGAATGTTGAGTTTGGCTACGATGATCCGCTGCAGCGTTACCACTAATTCGACGTCGAGCTTTGTGTTCGTTGATGATGTCCTCAAGCATCGCATCAGCCGCTAGATGCAACTTGACAAGGTGTGATCGATACCCGGTCAACGCGGGAAGGAATTTAAGAGAAGGGAACAGATCTGATACTCTGAACCCGCCCACAGCCTCTGAAATCCCCGAGATGAGCTCCGTGAAAATCGCTTCCCTGTTATTCACCGTTATGATCTCCTCCGCCGACATCCCGAACGCCGCCCTGAAAGTAAAGCTGCACGTCGACGACACCAAAAGCTCGCCGATGTCGACGCCGGCGCCGACGGCGGCCGCGCGGATGGCGGCGGTGAGCTTGGCGGCTTCGGATTCCCTGACGGGGCGGAGAGAGAGGACTCTCTTGGAGCTCAGGAGCTCGACCACGCAGATCTTGCGCACCTGCCGCCAGTAGGCGCCGTACGGCGCCAGTGCGATGTCCTTGGCGCCGTAGAATACGACGTCGGAGACCAGGAGCCGGGGCCGCGTCGCGAAGCTGAGGTCGTGGGCTTTCAGAACTTCCCCCGCGGCCTCTGGGCTTGAAATCACGATGTAGGAGAGCTCACCGAGCTGGAGGCCCATGACGCGTGGGCCGTGCTTTTGGGCCAGATCGCGGAGGCGGTGGTGGGGATGCTCGCAGATGAGCTGGTGGAGGTTTCCGATCACCGGCAGCTTCCGTGGTCCCGGTGGTAATTTGACTAATTTCTCCACCAAGCGACGTCGTGGTCTGAGGTTTGGGATTAGTAGCATTGATATCGATCCCAGCAGGATGATTAGTGTGGTAATTATGAGTGTGATTAAGGGGATGGAGGAGAAGTATTCGAGCGGTAGAGCCATTGATGACGATATCAATGGATCGGTTTAGAGTGTAGAGGAATGGGAGGGCTATGGATCCATAATGATGTTGTTATAGAGACTGGAGATGGTCTGCTATCCGTTTTCCAATCCCTATCTATTATTGGATTTCCGGAGATTTCTTGTCGGATATCCCACCAACATACTCCCTTCCACTTTTTATCCTTCTTAATTATTTCTCTAATTTATACAATTAACTTCACCATCTAACAGAATTATATGTGAAGAGTGAAGTGATTTGATAGGGCGATAACTGGGAAGTTGACATTTGCAAATTGAAAAGTTGTATGATGCTACATAAACAAAATGACAGTATGGTTTAGAAAAAGCGTATGGTCGATTATTTTTCATGGACCACTTTTAAGTACTATTGTATTTGTCTCTTTGTCATGCATGGGTGATATTTTTATGTCCATTTCACTTTCTTTTATCTTTTGTCATAGATATTTTCGGAGGGAAGTAGTATAGATAAGACAATATATACAGGATCTAGTAAGACCAGAACTAGGAAATTGAAATAAGAAAAATACGATGACCGACAAGTGTCCGAACCATCGCTTCAAGGACTTGACGTCACGATATGAGCATGTTTATTATACCTACGAGGAGTGAAATGGAATGTAACACGAAGTAACGAAGCCGAAAACACCTAAATCTCATGCATGATAGCTCCATCCACTGCATACGATGAATCCCTCGTGTTGACCATCTGATGAATCACGTACGCATCACCACAAAACCAGACATTGAAAAAGGAGTGAACCAGAACACCAACGAATAGCATCTCAGAAAGCCGAGAGCTCAATAAACAGAGGGATCAAACGATAACTTGACTATTCACACGACGGGCTAAACCCTATTTGATAACAGTCATATAATTGTATTCAGAGGCAGACCTATGTTGTCCCAAGGGTATTCAACTGACAAACCTTAGTTTTTGAATTGGGACAAAAAGTTAGCAGAAAAAATGATTTTGGTGATAATAGTATTGAACTCAACATCATTTAACAACTTAGGGATGGCAATGGGTTGGTTGGGCGCGGATACTGCATATTCGTTACCTAACCCAAAGTAGTTCGGGTTTTAGTTTTACCCATACCCACATAAGAAACGGGTAGAAAATCAAAACCATGCCCATACCCGTTAGGGTCTCGAGCATCCACGGTTATCCATGGGTAATAATTTCTCTTTATAACTCCAATTAATATGTTAACATTTATACGTAGTCTTACATTAAATAAGACAAAAAGTATGAAAATAGTTCACTATGATGAAGAGAATAATTAATTGAAACAACACAATTTCATGAAAATATTATATTTATATGCTAAATATAAAATATGTTAGAGAAAAATAATCATTATTTCTAAACAAAATACATATGCATGTGTATAATCGGGCAGATTCGAGTTGGATAGTGAGAAAACCATGCTCACCCTTTACCCGCAATATTCGGGTTCGGGTTTTACCCGTACCCACTAAAAGTTCTTCGAATTCGGATTTTACCCTACCCGATTAGGTCGGATTCGGACGGATATCCACAGTTACGAATATTTTAGAAAACTAATGTGTTTGTTAGCAGTACTATTTTAAGAACTTGAATTTATTTTCAAATCTATTAATTTTTCCAAACTCAATTCATTTATTCTTATGTTCCTCTTTGGAAAAAACCCTTTTAAGAACCCTACTCCAATTCTTACCAAATCAAATATCAATTGGTAGCATTTATTGAAAGAGTTGCAAGTCACAACATAAATAATTAATATATTTTTAAAATTCAAAAATATAAAACCAGGTATGACTTGTTTAAAATGATGATATTATCTAAAATATGAACTAAAATTTTGTTATATTCTTGAACACCTTGAAAGATTTTCTGGCTCCGCCACTAATTGTATTTCACCTTTTATAAAAGCAAGTTTAATCCCAATGCCCTTTTCTCGCCTTTTTATATCATTTATAGTAATCATTAGAGTTTTGCATGATTATTTTGTGAAACTATGCGGATAATACCTGTTGGGCATATGACTCGGATCGTCCCCGCGCCAAAGGAGCATATCGGACCGCGCGACACAACCGGCGACGCGAAGACCTTGCGCGCGGTAAGGGTAAAGCCACACGCGCGAGTGTGGAGATCGTCCCCGCGCCAAGAGAACATATCAGACCGCGCGACACACCCGGCAGCGGGAAGACCTTGCGCGCGTCAAGGGTGAAGCTACGCGCGGGAGTGTGAAGACCAGGCGTCATAACCGCAGAGGGCGTCATTGCGTTTCCCGAGGGAAGGTCACGTCAAGACTTTAGGTGCAATCATAGACAACCCTCTGACAAGTCCTAGGTTAAGGGATGGCCTATATCCCTGACACATCAGTAGTCACGTCGTTGCACCGTCTCGTAGTCCACCCTCTCACCCACCAACATGTAGCCTATAAATATGGCATTTACTCCGGTGGGTGAGGGGATCGCATTTTTCACCACTCTCTCTCTACAATAACAGCTTATCCCTCTAATATCCCTTCTCTTGCTCTCCCTCAACTCCCCAGGCTTGGACTTTCCGATCATACCCAATACTTGCACTTCTTCTTGACCCCAATTCTCACTTGAATCTAACTTCTACACTCAGTTAGGTTCAAACAATTGGCGCCCACCGTGGGGCCAAGAAGAAACGCAGAAGAAAACCCACCAATGGCAGAACGCAACCACGATCAACCTGACGAAGCGACGCCCATCAAGGCGATGACCGACCCGAGGGCGTTCGCGGAAGCCAGCAACCTCAACGCGGTGCTTATTGAAGAAGAGGAGCCCGAAATGACAGCCAAAGAAATGAGGGAGCTAGTGACAAAGCAAAACAACGTCATAGCCGACATGCAGAAGCAAATGAGCCAAGTCATCGCGCTCATGATGAGCAAGGAGGCCGCGCCAACAGCAGAGGGAACGGCGCCCGCGCCTCAACAAGCCGTCGGAGAAGCGTCCGGAACCGCCCAACCACCACAACGCGCGCCAGCGGAATTCCCCGTGGGAGAAACGCAGGGAATTGAACCACCAGGGCGGGCGGACCTCAGCTTCTTGGAGCAACACCTGTCTCCGCAATACCGGCCTAACCCGCCCAAGAGGGTTCTCCACCAGCCGTTGAGCGCACAAATTATGGCGGAGCACCTAAGCGGGGCGCCACCCACCCTACCCACATACAACGGCACGACCGACCCAGAGGATCACGTAAGCACCTTCTGCTTGCGCATGCAACTCCAAACCAACTCGAATGCGGCGCTGTGCAGAACCTTCCCGTCGACTTTTTCGGGAATATGCCTCGACTGGTACAACAGACTCCCAAACGGAATCATCCGCTCATTCGAGGAGTTCATACTCCTGTTCACAACGAAGTTCGCATCCCAGAAGAGGCGCCCTCTGCATCTCAAGGCGCTGATAGATATCAAGCAGAAGGAGGGTGAGAGCCTGAGAGCTTTCTACGCTCGATGGTCCAGGGTGGCAATGGCTGTCCGCGACCTTACCCCCGAGACCGCCGCCCATCACCTCATGGAGGCCACTTGCAACATGGAGCTCAAACGGGCGCTAGCAAAAAGGCCTGTGACCCTATCCACAGAATTGGAAATGAAAATCGAGAAGGCAATCACGTTAGAAGAGACTCTCGGGGCGGGATCGGTTAGGCGCTTCGAACCGGCGAAGTTGCAACGCGAAGAACAGGGGAGGCGGCAACCTCCGGCCCCGATTCCCCGAGAACAATTGGCACAGCTACACAGTGGCCCGAAAATTCACCCCCCACCCCCGCAAGAACACGTTCCGCGTCGGCGATCGCCGGATAGACGAGCGCCCAACACCTACACGCCACTCAACGACTCCGTGAGAAATGTATTCCACGTTCTCCGTGAGAAAGGCTACAAGCTCAATTGGCCTGCTCCGTTGAAGTCCCGCCCTCACATGCGCGATCCAAACAAGCACTGTGACTTCCACAGAGCAACAGGCCACTGGACGGAGGAATGCCGGGAGCTACGGTACGAAATCGAAGGCCTCGTAAGGCGAGGGTTATTGACCGAGTTCACCCATATCAAAGAAGAACAAGTTGAGGGGCCCCAGAACCCGCCACCCCCTCCGCAGACCGACTACATCGACGCCGGCGGCGCGTATGTGGTGCGCAAAGAAATAGGGGTGGTGACGGTCGAAGGAGATCGCCCCAAGAAGAAAACCAAGCGAGAGCGCGCAACTGAATGTGCGGCTGTAGACACGCGGGCGAAGCTCAAACTGAGCTTCGACGACACGGAGTTCCCACGAGGGGTTCCTTCAGAAGATCCACTCATCATCACCTCACTGGTTGCCGGCTGCAAAATCCATCGTTTGCTGATAGACGGAGGTAGCGCAGCTGACATCCTCTTCCAAAGCACCGTCGACAAAATGGACATCGACCCGCGCCTGATCAAGCGCGCACAGGGTAATCTGGTCGGATTCTCCGGAACGAGAGTCCCAATGATTGGAGTGGTCACCCTCCCAGTAGTAATCGGAGACCAAGAGCCGCGCGTCTCTAAGCAAGTGGAATTCACTATCGTCGATTGCAAATCGGCACACAATGGCATCCTTGGCCGACCATTCCTGGCGAAGTTCATGGCCCTCCCATCAACGTGCCACCAAAAACTCAAATTTCCTACCCAAACAGGGGTTGGCGAGGCGCGAGGCACATCATGGGAAGAGCGCGATGAGGTACGCCAGACCAACATTGTCGACACAAGAGCGGAAGAGCCCCGCCCGGAGTCCATGGACTCCGACTTCGAAGTCGCGCTGGACCCTGCCGAACCGACTAAGAAGATACGAATCTCCACCCACGTCAGTGGTGACGCGATCGAACCACTTGTGGCATTGCTGAAAGAGTACAAGGAGCTGTTCGCTTGGTGCACGGAAGACATGCCAGGAGTGCCCAGAGAAGTGGCTCAACATTGTCTGGCAGTCCCAAACAGCGCGGAACCCAGGCAACAAGGGCGAAGAATATTCACAGGTGACAAGTTGAAGGCCATAGAAGAAGAGGTTGCGCGCCTGCTGGCAGCTGGATTGATACGCCCCGTGAAATACCCAAAGTGGCTGGCAAACGTGGTCCTGGTTAAAAAGTCATC